TCCTTCATTGGGTGAATTAACCCTTCCAGTGCCAGAACTGCCTTTAAGTTAAGTAATACTTTTACCAAACAAGTCAATTCCTATTATTTATATTACACAATATCTAAAACTCACTAAAGTGTCACTTTGTCTAATTATTCCTCTTATTCATAAGGGATTGCTACAAAGCCTAATTTTACCTTCATGGGTATTTAAAGGTACAGTGACCATTGTTTCATACCAATATAAAAGGAGGTGAAACTTTTTGTTGTTGCAACCAGGAAATGCTGCAGTTGAGTTCCAATTAAAGAAATATTACAAAATAAATATTACAAAGAGTTTGGTTATTAGAGGTATAGGGTAGGCATTACGTATGGTTATCTTGTTCAACCCTCGATAATCAATACAAGGTCTTAAATCCCCCTCCTTCTTTGAAACGAAAAAGAAACCGGCCCCAGCCGGAGAGGAAGATTTAGTGATAAAGCCTTTTCTTAAATTCTCTGTGATGTACTCCTCTAGTATTTTATTTTCGTTAACTGTGAGGGGATATACGGTACAGATCTATATATTGCTTTGGTATTTGGGTGGTTAAAGGTTTCATCGTAGGGATATTAAGCAGGCCTACTGGCTTCACTTGAGTGATACACCCTGCAAAACATTGCTTGCCCCATTTTATAATATCTTTTTTCTCCCAGTTATTAAAGGATTGTGCTTTAGAGCCAGGGAAAGCCAAGAATGACCAGCAAAGTTATCTGCTGTAGGGTTATAATTTCCTGATGTAAGGTACCTACAGTCAAGGCTATGGGGTTCGTTCGTCGAAGCTGAGATCAACAAAATTCTCGACAGCCCCAGGAATCTGTCAACACAATAGTCTGTTCCTTCTTTCTCCCCCATTCTATAACAACAACTGGTAGAAGAAGCTTAAGATCTTTTTTGTCATTGAAGGAGGACATACACATTACACCCAAGGCCTGTCCTCCTGGAGGGCTTAGGTGCTGAAGTTTTCCAGCCTGCTAGGGCAAGCTAGGTGAGAATGCCCCTTCTTCCCACTATATAGACAGTCGATATTGTTTCTCGGCTTCGGACAACCGCGTGGCTCCCAATTGCATTGGTTCAGGGAGGGCGACAGCGGTTGTCTCCAAAGCAAGGAACATAAAGCTAAACGCTCTGGCACACGCCTAGGTCTCTCCCTGGTGTTTTATCTATGTCTGAGACGTTCATCAATATGAGCCAAATAGGTGATTAACTCCTCTAATACATTACGTAGATCTCTGGTAGCTACCTCATCCAATAGTTTATCAGAGAGGCCATTCAAGAACAAATCTACAAATGCCTGCTCATTCCATCTCACTTCGGCAGCATGTGTACGAAAATCTAAGGCATAATCGACCAAGGAACGAGAACCCTGTCTCATACGTAAAAGAGTTTTAGCAGCATTAGTTCGTCTCCCTAGGGGATCAAAAGTTCTCCTAAAGGCAGCAACAAACTCCGATTAGTTGAACACTATGGGATCATCGTTCTCCCATAATGGGATAGCTAAAGCCCTATCCACTAAGAGTCAGGGGCGGGCTGGGCCGGGGGGCAGGGAGGCAATTGCCCCCCAGGCCGCCCTAAATTCCTGTAAGGCCGGCCGCAGCGGGCCGGCCCTTTAAATACTGCAACCGCCCGAGCGCTCTGTTAAGAGCCTCAGGCGGCTGCAGCTTCTCCCCTCCCCTCCCCTGTAGCGTGGCCGAGCTGCACTCCGGTCCGCGGTGGCCGGCCAGC